ATTTTTGGACCATGTATTTTGTACTGGTAGATTCTTGTACTAAGGGACCTATGTGGTGTATAAATACGTATTTCTTATGTATGAAGTATGTGTTACATGCAATGTGTGGAATGAGGTGTTACAGAAAGTGGTATCAGAGCCTGAGTTTAAGCGATTTAGGTATTTAACAACATGATACCTAGACTTGAACTATTTCATTGCATGTTAAGGGTCCCGGACATAGTTAGCACCATTGGAAATAAATATGATGAGTTGAAAGAACAATGTGTAAGGTAAATTTTGATTACATCTGGCCAGTGTAATTATAAATTTACAGGTACATATCTGAACTTAAATACTTCATTATATTTGGGAATGTGAATATGTGATTATTAACACTAAAATCTGCAGATGTCTAGTCGAACACAGAGATCTGAAAGAATAGCCCGTCCAAAGTCTAAGGAAAGAGAAGAATCACATGCTAATATCCTAACAAGTACATCTAGAAATAGAGGTCGGGGAGGATCTAGAAGACGAGGCGGAGGGAGAAATCAGTCATAGGGAAGGGATCGGGTTGAGATACGTTCTGAGCATGAAGAATCCCATTCTAGGAATGTTCAGGAAAGATCAGCGCCACATCCAGAATATATAACCAGAGATATGTTGGTAGAGGAAATGGGAAAGTTACAGGAAACTTTAACATCTATTATGGGAATACCAGCTAGAGTGGAAACGGATAGAGTGGAAGTACATCCCTCTATTCCGGTTACTCATAACAAGGAAGGAGACATTAAGATGTTCTTGGCATGCAAACCACCAACTTTCTCTGGAGAGAGGGATCCAGTAAAAGCCATGTGATGGATCAAGGAGATTGAATCTGTGTTCAACACCATCCGATGCCTATAATATGATAAAGTCCGATTTGCTGTATTAGTGTTAAAATCAAATGCTTTGTTTTGGTGGGAAGTTGAATCATTGGCCAGAACAGATGTCTTACAGACATTATCCTGGACAAAATTTGTAAATCGATTAAAGGATCAGTTCTGCCCTAAGACAACTGTATGACAAATGGAAGAAGATTTTCTGAAGTTGGAACAGGCAAACGGAACGGTTCAAGAATATATTGAGAAATTCATTGAATACTCTCGATTTGCTGAGCATTATATTTCATCGGAATCCAGGAAGATGGAAAAATATATTTGGGGATTGAAACCTTCAATCCATGAATTTGTAATTGCTATGAATCCCAATACCTTTTCACTAACTGTGGATGCGACCGAAGTAACAGAACGAAATAAGAATCGATAATCAGAGGGTAAAGTTGAGGAGAAAAGAAGATGGGAAGGGCCTTCATCAAACTTTCGAGGGCCAAAAGCAGTAAGATATGATAATAGAGCTGAACAAAAGGTTGGTGAGAAAGTCTGTACACAATGCCGACAGGTTCATCAAGGTGAATGTAAGATGGACCCAAGGAAATGTTATAAGTGTGGCGAAGCGGGTCATTTGTCAAGGAGTTGTCCAGCCAACAGAAGGTGTTTCAATTGCACTTCCCCGGATCACATACGACCAAACTATCCGTTGTTGAGAACTCCACAATTGACAATGGGAAGTAATGTGTCGGGTACTCGGGGAAGACCTACTGCATCTAGAGGAGGGCAAGGAGGGGCACGGGGACAGTCCTTCCAAATGACGAAGAATGAGGCAGAGGCAGAGGCATCGCCTGATGTAGTAACATGTACCTTCCTTCTGAATTCTATACATGCTAAGGTGTTGTTTGATTCCGGTGCAAACTTTTCATTTGTATCACCATCATTTGCTCAAATTGCATGTTTGAATTCTGTGTTACTTGATGACGAATTAGTAGTTGATACTGGTAATAGTCAGGAATCTGTTACTAGTGTATTCAATAACTGCATTATTGTTATTGAGGGGTGTGAGCTACCGATTCGATTATTTCCTATGCCGATGAAGGCATTTGATGTAGTGGTGGGTATGGATTGGTTAGCAGAGCATCAGACCAGTATTGTTTGCAATAAGAAAATAATCAGAATCACTTTGCCAGACCAAGGAACAGTTGTTATTTATGGTGATCGTCAGAATCATCATACTAATCTCTTGATTGTGCTGAAAGCTCATAAGTGTATCCGAAAGAAATGCCAAGGGTGTTTGGTATATGTGATTGATTTGAAAAAAAAGGGAAAGCAATAATTAATTCCTATTGTTAATGAATACCCAGAAGTCTTTCCAGAAGATTTGTCTGGGTTACCGCCAGACCAAGTTATCGAATTCCGAATTGATCTCATACCAGGAGCATCACCTGTAGCGAAGGCGCCACACCGATTGGCTCCATCAAAACTGAAGGAATTAGTTGTTCAGTTGAAGGATTTAACTGATAAAGGATTCATTCGACCCAGTACTTCACCTTGAGGAGCTCTGGTTTTATTTTTTAAGAAGAAGGATGGATCTATGCGAATGTGTATAGACTATCGTGAATTGAACAAACTAACAATTAAGAACAAGTATCCTTTACCAAGGATCGATGAATTGTTTTATCAGTTGGCGGGGGCAAGTTATTTCTCTAAAATTGACTTAAGGTCGGGGTATCATCAGTTAAAGGTTAGGGAAGAGGACATTGCTACAACAGCTTTCCGAACTAGGTACGGACATCACAAATTCTTAGTTATGCCATTCGGCTTAACTAATGCGCCCGCAATCTTTATGGATTTGATGAATAGGGTATGTAAGAAATATCTTGATAAATTTGTTATTGTATTTATCGATGATATTCTTATATACTCTAAAACTGAAGAGGAACACGCAGAACATCTTCGCCTGATACTGGAATTGCTGAAAAGAGAAAAGTTGTATGCAAAGTTATCCAAGCGTGAATTCTGGTTAAGAGAAGTTCAGTTTTTGGGTCATGTTATATCAGAAGCAGGGGTGAAGGTAGATTAGCTAAAATAAAAGCAGTTGAAAAGTGGGAAGCCCCGAAAACTCCTTCTGAAGTCCGAAGCTTTTTGGGATTGGCAGGATATTATCGTAAGTTTATTCAGGACTTTTCTATGATAGCCGTGCCATTGACCAAATTGACTCGGAAGAACGTCAAATTTCAGTGGGAGGAAGAACAACAAAAAGCTTTCCAACTATTAAAAGATCATCTCTGCAGTGCACCGGTGTTGATCCTACCCAATGTATCAAAAAATTTTGTAGTATATAGTGATGCTTCAAAACTGGGATTGGGATATGTTTTGATGCAGAGAGGAAATGTGATTTCTTATGCGTCAAGGCAATTGAAGGATCATGAGAAGCAATATCGAACTCATGATTTGGAATTAGCTACGATAGTGTTTGCTTTAAAAATCTGGAGGCATTATCTTCTAGGGACAAAGTGTCAAATTTATACTGATCATAAAAGTCTGCAACATCTGTTCAACTAGAAAGAATTAAATACGCGACAGCGTCGGTGGATTGAACTTGTTAATGATTATGATTGTGAAATTTTCCACCACCTAGGAAAAGCCAATGTGGTAACTGACGCATTGAGTAGAAAAGAAAGGAGTGTGACTATTAAAGCTGTGGCAATGAGAATAAATTTAGTCCCTGATATCCATAAAGAAATTCTGAGATGTCAAAAAGAAGCTATGAAAGAAGATCTTGTCAAATCAGAAAGATTGGGTAAGATGATTTCGACTCTAGAACCGAACAATGAAGAAATTATGTGCTTTCAAGGGGGAATTTGGGTACCATATTTTGGGGATATCCGGAGTACTATACTAAATGAAAGCCATAAGTCCCGATACTCTATTCATCCAGGTACTGTAACAACCCACAATTTCCACCATACAGATAATCCACATGATATTACTCATAACACAAAATGTAACATCGTTTACAAAATACAGATTAACAAAAACTTTCTTTGATACATTTATGAGTAACTAAAAGTCATCAATTCTAAACTTTTCCCTTGCCTCTATCCTACGAAGTATGATGACCTGCAAAACAGGTTAGTCCAACAACTGAGCGTTAGACCCAAAAGGTCTAGTGAGTGTATATAACTCATACCAACAACATACTTTCTAAACTAGCAGTTTAAAAATCAAACATGTATATCACAAACATTTTATCTATATCTATCATATATTTTTTCATCTCTCTCGCGGTTATACCGCCATTTCATCTCTCTCGCGGATACTCCGCCATTTCATCTCTCTCGCGGTTACACCGCCATTTCATCTCTCTCGCGGTTACACCGTCATTTCATCTCTCTTGAGAAATTTTATCAAAAGCTTCAACACATTAGCCGGATTTGAAGTCTGGTCAACCTTGTCCGAATATGAAATCTGGACAATTACTTAGAGTAGAAAAAGATAAATCGGACATGGCTTGAGCGGTTTAGCTCTTAATCCGTTTAACACTTGAGCGGTTTAAGAAAATATCCTGACAAGACTTGGGCGGTTTAAGAATAAACCGGTCAACACTTGGGCGGTTTAAGAAGATATCCAGACAACACTTGGGCGGCTTAAGAATAAACCGGTCAACACTTGGGCGGTTTAAGAAAAATATCCAGTCAACTCTTGAGCGGTTTAGATGAAATCCGAATAATATATGAAACATAATAAACCGTTTCAAACAATTACAATTGTTATACCACAATTAATACATCAAAGCATAAAACACTCACCTTATAAAAATGATCGGATTAAGTTTATTATTTATCTTTAGCCTTTTCTCTCAATATGCAGAAAAATTCTCAAAAA